AAAGCCGCCAGCCACTGGCTTTTACCTTGACCTCAGTCTGAAATGGTGATCCAGGAATCTCAGAATGAGACTGTGACTAAGAGCTGTCTCCTCCCATTTTATAATCCTCTCTAGGGCTGGGATTAAAGACATGCACCACTGGAATTAAAGGCATGCATCACCCGGTTTCTATAGCAACTAGTGGGGTTACTGGGATTAAAGGTGTGTGTTACCATTGCCTGGCTATAAGGCTGACCAGTGTGGCTGTGTTAGTCTCCCAACCCCCAGACAAGCTTTATTTATTAAAATGCAATTGAAATGTCACTACATATCCTAAAATCAGTTAGTACTATAATGACTATTAATATCATGACAAAAAGTTTAATACATATATGCATATATATATATATATATATTAATCTTTTAATTTGAGATAATATTTATGCCTTAAGAAAAGCTGTTAAAGAGTCAAAATAAAACCAAAGGATTATGAGATTAGTGGTAATACAATAGTTCCTAAGTTTTGGTTTTTCTTCTGTCCCATATCAAGCGACTCTTCTGACATGAGACAGAGATTTTGGATTTTACTTTAATAAGCATGCTTGGGTTTAGAGAAGGAGAGAGGTACACATTTACTCCAAAGCAGCTTTAATTTTCAATTGAACTGGGACTACAAAAAGACCATTTGCATTATGTGTCTGTAGAGAACAGCAGACACAAACATTTGGGAAGATTTATGAAATTTTATCCTGCTGGAGATACGATATACAAATGGGCTAATTTACTCTTTTTCTTGTGACTTTTTTGGATGATTTTTCCTTTTTCTTCACATGTCTCATTTGTCCAGTGGTCTTCAGATTCCTTACCTGGATGCCTTCATTCTCCTGAAAAGATGAAAACAAAACCCTGTCCCAACCCTAACTTTGGGGAAGTTACCTTTCAGAAAGTTATATCTGAACAAAGAAGCATTTGTTAATCATATAAGCTAGGTTAGATTGAATGGTCAAGCTGTTTGATGAACTATTATCTCCCTTAATCAAGAGGTCTCTCTTGTTCGAATATAATCTTTACAATATTTTCATGGTTTCTCCTTAAATTTTTGTTCTATCTTCTAAAGCTGTTCTATCTATCATCCAGAGAAATATCATGCTTTTCACAAAAGGCACTAGATTCCTTAATTACTCTGGGAAGACATTTCCTCCATGATGACAGCGAATGACTGAAACAAATTAGGCATGGGGTCTACAGAAGGGTCCCCCAGGGAGTTTCCCAACAGCAAAAGGGTTACCCTGAATATCCCTTTTTTTATTGACTTTTATTGAGCTCTACATGTTACAAGGATGGAGAGCCTGCTTATTCATCCCATCCAGCTGCCCGGCTGGCTTAGCCCCAAAATAATCACACAGAAATTGTATTCATTAAAACACTGCTTGGCCCATTAGCTCTAGTTTCTTACTGGCTAATTCTTACAACTTAATTTAACCCATTTCTATTCATCTGTGTATCACCACGTGACAGTGACTTACCAGGTAAAAGTATAACCAGTGTCTGTCTCAGGTGAAGAATCCATGGCTTCTCTCCTACTCCCCTTTCTTCCTCCCAGAATTCAGTTTTGTCTTCCCCGCCTGACTAAGTTCTGCCCTATCAACTAGGCCAGAGCAGTTTCTTTATTCATTAACCAATGAAAGCAACACATGGACAGATGGACCTCCTACACCACTACATTTTTCTCTGCTTCCCTCCCTTCCTCTCCCCTCCCCTCTTCAACCCTCCCCCATGATCCCCATGCTCCCAATTTACTCAGGAGATCATGTCTTTTTCTACTTCCCATGTAGATTAGATCTATGTAAGTCTCTCTCAGTGTCCTCATTGTTGTCTAAGTTCTCTGGGATTGTGGTTCGTAGGCTGATTTTTTTTTACTTTATGTTTAAACACGACCTATGAGTTAGTACATGTGATGATTGTCTTTCTGGGTCTGGGTTACTTCACTCAAAATGATGTTTTCTAGCTTCATCCATTTTCCTGCAAAATTCAAGATGTCATTATTTGTTCTGCTGTGTAGTACTCCATTGTGTAAATGTATCACATTTTCCTTATCCATTCTTTGGTCAAGGGGCATCTAGGTTGTTTCCAGGTTATGGCTATGACAAACAAAGCTGCTATGAACAAAGTTGAGCACACGTCCTTGTGGCACAATTGAGCATCCTTTGGATATATACCCAAAAGTGGTATTACTGGGTCTTGAGGAAAGTTGTTTCCTAATTTTCTGAGAAATCACTACACTGACATCCAAAGGGACTGTACCAGCTTGCATTCTCACTAGCAATGCAGTTTTCCCTTTTCCCCACAACCACTCCAGCATAAGTTGTCATCAGTGTTTCTGATCTTGGCCAACCTGAAATATCTCTTGTTGATTTACATTCATTCATCCAATGTCTGCCTTTGTCACACCTTCTGCATACTCCAAAAGAGAGGGGCATTCTGTGTGGATTACTCTTAGGGAAAGCATTGTTTCTAGGAGCACCCTGTTTGCAATCCCTTTTTAGATGACCTTGTTTATTGCGATTGAAACACTCGACATAATCGATTTTTCTTCAAATCTCTGGAATCACCTCTCCTATCCAAACATCATCATGGTCATGAGATTCAATATTGGTTGTATCTCAGACCCATTTCTCCAAGGGTGCTCATCTTGCCTTTAAAGGCCTAATTACTGTTTTGCGTTGTGCATTAGCATTTTCAAAAGTCAGAGATTCTATTATTATTCATCTAGCTTCTGAATTTGGTATCATTCTTTTTAAAGCTAGAGTCAATCTTGGGGGAAAAAAAACCTCAGTGAAGGTTTCTTTTGGAACCTGGTATAACCTTAGTAAATGACTTGATTTTCTTTCCTACTTCTTCAATACTGTCCCAGGTATTCAAAGTTGCTGCACAGCATAAAGCCAGAGTGTAGTCATCATATAGAAATTACCTTTGCACATTAGCATAATCTCTTTCTTCAAGAAGTTGGTCTTGAGAGATGTCTATACCTCCAACCCTAGCCTCATCTTTCCAACAAGTCCTCTACTGTAATTGAGGACCAGGATCCAAGACTGCTATAACCAAGTCTTTCCAGTCTTGAGAGATAATTCTACTACAAGTTGACCACAAATTTAACATCTTCTTCACAAAAGGTGAATACATGCCATATGAGATTATCACTTCCTTGAATTTCCTTAAATCTAACATTTTCACAGGAGTCCATTCAGCTCTTACACAGCTTTGAAGATACCTATCATTTGGCAATTTCAGTAAGGCTGCTGGATACATTAAATTTGGTTGCTTGAAAACCTTAACAGATCCTCTCTAACCTTATAATGTGATGCTAAAATTGGTTCTCTTTTAAATTCATCTGTGTGGATCTGAATATCTCTATGATCTGTTTTATTAAATTTTTCTAAGGCCTATATCTTGGCACTCATATCAAAGAACTTTTTTGGAGAAAAACCAAGAATTATCAAACTGACAATAAGGATTATCAAAATAATAATTAACATTATATCAATTCCAGCTAAGTTAATTATCTCTTCATTCAAGTGTTCCATTTTTAAACCAAGCATCGCGTAATCATACAAAGACCTGACTCTCTACACTGTAATAGTTAGCTAAAAGCGGTGCAAGGACTGCAAAAGAGATCTGGAAGATGGCAGTTCAAGGAAATTTTCAAACCTACACTGGCTTCCCAGAGCAGGTGGCACTGAGAGAGAAACTTTCCTGAGAAATAGAGACTCACCAGGTAATAGAGAACAAGACTTTGTAAGCAACTGAAACCTCAGGAAAAGTACAGAGGCCAAAGCATCTCCCATTTGATAATCTCTAAGAAAGCAAGGCTGAGGCAGAAAGTGGCAGAAAATAGGACTGCAGGAGACTGTGGTGTCCATGGATGCTGTTAAGCAGCTAGCAGAAGCATCACTAATAATGTATTAGTCTGGGAGATGGCTGATGCAGTGGTGTGGAGATGCATCTGAAGATGATAATACCAGCCAGTGGAGCAGAAAGCTCTTTTTCAATGGGTCATGTGAAAGGCAATATAGGGTTCAGACCACACACAAGTAGCAAGAAAGGAAAGGAGGGCACAGATTCCAGAAAGTGTCTGATTGCAGGCAATGAGGACAGAGAGAAATTAAGGTTATTCCTGCATTTCTGCCTTGGATGAATGATTGGATTTCATGGTTGAAACAGGGAAAGCAGATTGTGTACTGTGTCCTCTAGGGTACAGATGAGAGAAAAAATGACTTGTTTATATATTAACATGTTCAGTTCACGTTACACGGAAGACAGTCAAACAGCATAAAAATGCGTATCTACATCTTTAGGAGAAATCTTCCCCATGATACGAAAGTAGTGACTGAATACATAAAAATGGAAGATAATTTATAATAAAGATGATGGGCTGATACCTGAACTCCTAAGAACTGCTTTTGTATCAGGAATCTCTCCAACATCAATCTCCAATCATTCCATCACTATTTATTAATCACCACCATTAGATGGACTTCTCTCTTGCTCCATAACTCAGTGCTTCCCTCCTAAATCCTTCATATCTAAGATAATAAATAAGCCCACATTATAATTTCATTACAACTCTGAAGTAACTAGTGGGCAATTTCATTTATAATAAAAAGCAAATGTTTAGCATCTAATCAAGAGTGGTGGCGTGTGCTTGTAATGGCAGCTCAGGGACGTGGAGGCAGAAGGATCACAAGATCAAGGACAGCCTGGGATACATAGCAAGACTCTTACAGAGAGGACAAAGAGAGAGAACTATCCATCCTTTTATATGTGTGCTTTTCTACAAATATATGTTATTTGTCAGACCAATTTAAATATAGAGGCTGAAAGCTTAAGAAAAATTATATTGGTCTAACAGCCACCAGGTTCAGTATATATTTAGATTTTCCAATTTGTTTATTTTCCTCTTGAGTCTAAGTACCTTTCAGATCTACTGAGTCTCCCTTTCTCCCGTCATCTGCTCTACCCAGGTGATCAAATGTAAAGCTGCTGTGCTCTGGATGCCTGGGGCCCCGATGGACTTTGAGGAGATAGAAGTGGCCCCACCAAGGGCAAAGGAAGTTCGAATAAAGGTAAAACACAACCCAGATTTCCACGTCATACCCAAGGTGTTCGCTGTAAATTATATATCTTTTTCAGAATTTCCTACTCAAAAAGAAAGCTGCATTTTTCTTCTGTCCAGGAAGAGTTAGGGAGGGTTGGTGTCTGTTCACACTGCTTAGTAGACTAAGAAAACTCACCCGATGGGGGTTTTCAAGCTTGGTTAGTGCTTGGAATCACTGAGCAGCTTGGAAAATGCTAACTGCATCTCATCCCCGAGATTCTGAAGTTATTCATTGATTGGTTTGGAGAGCTCATATCCCCAGATGACTCCAGCTGGCTCCCAGAGAGCTAGAAAGCAGTTCGTGTGACTTGTGGTTCAACGTCATTAGATCATTCCCATTACAGCAGTGGAAAGTATGTATTATTTACGGATGGACGACAGAGAGATAATTCTAAGTTCCCTTACCCACACAAACCATATCCTCCTCTCAAGGAACCTTCTCTGCTATCTATTCTCTACTGAGCGAGGAGGGTGGTATTTAACATCCCAGTCGAGTACTCTCCAGCAAGGTTACAACTCTCACAACTAGTTTTAGACTCAAGACACCCAACCATTTTCTGACAAGCTGCAATGTGACTCTCTAACCTGTGCGTTTGAACCAAGGGAGGTGATGGCAGGCAGGGGATGGGCTGAGTGGGGGTGGTGGCACTAGCCATTGTCATCCAGGTGATTGTGATAAATGAAAGAGAAAAAAAAAAAAACCTGTCTGCCGAAGATTAACAGGAGCATTTCAGCTATAGTGTCAGAACCAGAACAAAATAATGAACATGAAAACAGGTTGGTGGGTGCAGTTCTGGGTCCAAGAGGTTTGAATATACTTCCTTCAATTGTGTCAGCACAACAGAGTTGCGACTTACACTAGAACAGGATTGTTAACACACCTTTTAAATGTGTTTTGCAAAATGAACTAAAACTTTAGTTAATATAGGAAATATTACTATTTTCTGTCTTATGCCTCGACCTTTTAATCCTATAATTAGTTGCCTTCCTCCACACTTCTGCTCTCAAACCAGGTCGGGTCTTCAGCACCATACTGAGGTGATTTCAATTGGACTCTTCCCCCCTTGGGCTCAAGTGTTTGAACTTGGTCCTCAGTGGATGGTGCTGTTGGTGATGGTGTGTTTTGTTACAGAGGAAGACATGGGGGACAGGCTTTGGAAGTTCACAGCCTTCCCTTACATCTAGAATGCGCTCTGGTTCCTTTTTTGGTTGAAGATGTGTTCTCTCAGTTTCCTGACCTGGCTGTTTCTGCCATGCCTCTCCCTCCATTCCTCAGGTCTCTCTGAAAGAATAGCCCAGGGTAGACTCTTCCTTTTGCGAGCTGTTTGGAATGGCTTCTCACAGCAGTGGAGAAGCCACTCACCAATGCACACGGTGAGCTTCCCCAGCTTCTCTTCTGAAATCAATTAACTGTGACTCAACATTTTTAGCTTGGAAATGAGTAGAGGGAGAACACCGCGCTCTTTTACAGAAATAATTATTGACAGCTGTCAGAAATGAGTGCTGACTAGAAGCGACGCACTAGAAACCGTCTCAGAGCAGCAGATCTGAAGCTCCTTCGCGACAGACAAATCTCAGTTCTCTGTGCTTTCCACGCAGATGGTGGCCACAGGAATCTGTGGGACAGATATAAAAAGTCTGGCTGATAAGGATCTTTCCCAGTTTTGCCCCATCATTATGGGCCACGAAGGAGCTGGAATAGTCGAGAGTGTGGGAGAAGGAGTAAGCACAGTGAAAACAGGTAGGAAGCAACATCCGGCCTCAAGAAACAGCGAGTTTCGGAGCCCATGGCAGAAAACCAATTCAAGGGCATCCCTTATGTGTGTCACAACGAAGCAAATAAAAAGAAAGGTGAAACTCTGCCCACTTCCCAGAGGGGATGATCAGAACGGTCGCTAGATTACAGGGCAATTGTCATGAGCTTTAGTCTTCTCATTTACATTTTGAAGTAGAGTGCACCCAATCTAGCGCTAACAAGTGAGGAGAGAAAAATTAATAATAAGGTAAATAAAGTGAGGACAGTGGCCCATATTGTTTGGCTGGGTCTCTTGGATCCCCTTGGCCAACAACTTGAAGGGAGGTGGACTTTCACTGGCATTGGGTTGTTGATAGTCTGTGTCTCCTAGAGAAAGCACTGTCACCTGATGTTTGGAAACTCCATTTAAATAAGATGTGTGTGTATGTGTATATATATGTATAAATACGTGTGTAGATGTGTATGTGTATATTTAGATATAAAGTATGTATTGTGTATACAGATAAGTATAAATGTGGGTACAGATGTGCAAATGTATTAGATATGTATGTGTGTATGGTTATGTATAAATCATATATATGCATGTTTATATGTGTGTATAGATATGCATAAGTGTGTGCATTGATATATATTTGTATGTATATATGTATACATATTGTGTACTTATGTATGTGTATAGATGTGTATATATGTGAATATACATATTTGTTATATGTTTATTTTTAAGCTTATAAAATAATATTTCATTATGGATTTTTCCAATACTTTTAGTGTTATTTATCCTTCCTGACTCTTTCTCCCTCTGTATCACCCTACTTTTCCCTCCCCAGTTTGGTCCTCACACCATTTCTTCCCTTTCCTCCTTCATAGCATCTCTATCCTATGGCCTCCTCTCTAGAATTCCTCCTCACTTTCTCTCCCAGGATTCCTTGTGTCTTCTTGGCTTCTGACATTGCTCCAGGATTTATACTCAAATACAAAATACAAATTCACAAACATAAGAGAACATATGGCATTTGTCTTTCCAGGTTACCTGACCCAGGGTATTTCCCCGCTCCATCCACTTACCTGGAAATGTCATGAATTCATCTTCTTTGGGTTGTGTATCAAGACCATGATCCCGTTATACTTTCATCACTGAGGAACGTACAGGCAGCCTTTATCTTGCCACTGTTTCCAATAAGTGGCAGTAATTATGGCTGAGCAATTATCTATAGAGTAGAATAATGTGAGTCCTTTGGGCTTACGACAAAGATCAGTTTAGCTAGGTCACATAGTAAACAAATTTTGATTTTTTTTTAATTAAGTCTGCATGCTTATTTCAAAATGACTGCAAATCCAGAGTGGATTCCAGTCCCCAACAGTGACAAAGAAGGTTCCCGCTCCCCACATCTTTACCATCATTAGTTGACAGTTGTTTTTTGATCCTAAGACATCCTGACTGGGGTAAGATGAAATCTCAAAGTGGTTTTAATTTGCATATCCTTCTTTTCTGAGGTTGTTGAACAATTCTTTAGATATTTCTTGGCCATTCTCACTTCTTCTGAGAGCTCTCTGTTCAGGTCGCTAGCCCATTTTTCAAAATGAGTTGTTTGATTCCTTGATCCTCCATTCTTTGAGTTCTTCATCTATTCTGGAGATTAATCTCCTATCAAATATGCAGCACACACCCTCTCCCACTCTGGGCTTCCTCTTCACGCAACTGAATTTTCCCTTTGTTGTACAAAAGAAGCCTTTTGGTTTGGTGAGGCCCCACTTGTCAATTCTTGACCTCAATTACTGAACAAATGGAGCTCCACTCAGGAAGCCCTTTCTTACACTGATATCTTGTAGGGTACCCCCTATGCTTTTTTCTAGCAGTTTCAGCATTTCAGATTTCACATTTCAAGTTTTTTTTTTCTTCTTTTCTTTTTCTTTTATCTTTTCTTTTCTTTCTTTGGTGGGGGAGAGGGAGGAGTAATAGATATGGGCCTAATTTCAAACTTCTATATGGAAGACCAGTTTTTCCCATCACTATATGTGTAAGCTGTTGTCTTTTCCCCGGTGTGAATTTTTGCCAACTATCAGACGGCTATCGAAATATGTACTTAAGTTTGGATCTTCTATGCTGATCCACTGACCTACCTGTCTGCTTTTGTCCTAGTATTATAACTCTGTGATACAAATTTAAATATGGTGTGATAATTTATACAGAATTGTTCTTTTTGCTCAGGATTGTTTTGGCTCTCCTGGGACTTCCATATGAACCTTAGGATTTTGGGGGGCTCCTATTTATGTGAAGGATGTTATGGGAATTTTCATAGAGATTACATTGAATCTATAATTTGATATGATGGTAACTTTCACGATGATCAATCTGCTAATCCACGGGCATGGGAGTCTCTTCCCTTTTCTAATTTCTCCTCCTCAATTTCTTTCTTCTCAGCTTTGAAGTCTTCATTGCAGAGATCTTTGACCTCCTAAAACTAAAACCAAAATAGAAGAGCCTAAATTCTAACAAAGCCTTTAAATTAAAATTTATATTAAATTGTTATTCTTGGCAATATCAGACAATGAATCAGTCAGTAAACTCATCCCAAGCAAAACACTCTGATCTTCTCCTCCTAATTTGAACATAGAGGTACAAAGGACATACACACAAAAATAAATAGGAATACGTTTGCTCTCCATAGCCACAAAGAGAGAGATGAAGTACAACATAAAGCACAGGTTGTGACCAATCTGTCCCCAATCCTGGACTTCATTTTTTGAGCACTGTATCTATTTTGACTCAAGCCCCACAGTAGAAATTAATGTAGAGGACATCAGATGTAGTTGAAGATGTCTTAGGGTTCCAAATGCTGTGAAGAGACACCACGAACACAGCAACCCTTATAAAGTGAAAACAGTTAGGGTGGCTTCCATTTTCAGAGGTTCAGTCCATTATCATCATGGTGCAGCATGGTGGCGTGGAGGCAGACATGGTGCTGGAGAAGTAGTCGAGCATCTTGACTTGCAGGCAACAGGAAATGGACTGTCTCACTGGGCGTAACTGGAGCACATGAGACCTCAAAGCCCACCTCTACAGTGACACACAGCTTCCAACAAGACCACACCTACTCCAACAAGGCCACACCTCCTAATAGTACCACTCCCTTTGAGGGCCATTTTCTTTCAGTCCACCAACCACAAAGGCACGCAACTAAACTCTTTGCCTAGGTATTCCAAAAGTGCCTAACAAAGTGGGTAGATCTGGGGCCAACTCCTAGAGATTCAGCCTTGGCCTGGGACTGAACAGGATGCTGAAACTATGTTGGTAGCCAAACACAATTAAACGTGGAAATAGTTCTTCATTATCACATCTTCTTGGTGCCTCGCCGTTGACATCCTAAGAAACCAGACTATTTAACACTAGCACCCTAATAAGTTACTCTACTTTTTAGGTGACAAAGTCATCATCTTATGTATACCACAATGTGGAGAATGTAACACTTGCCTCACTTCCAAGAACAACATGTGTAAGGAAATTAGGTAAGTCTTTATAACTCCATCTTCTTAAAGTCTAATTCGGCTTCACTAAAGAGCTTTAAGCTTTTCAGTACAACATAAAGTTTGTTTCCTTTCACCTATAAAAAAGACTGTCAGGGACACATCTGACATCTGAAAGCAGCAGCAGAATCACCTGCAGAGGGAAGATAGTGCATCAATATATCGCCACAGGCACCTTTTCTGAATACATAGTCATAAAGGAAATCTCAGTCGCCAAGATTGATGAAGATGCTCATCTGGAGAAAGCGTGCATAATTGGCTGCGGGTTTGCCACTGGTTTTGGTGCTGCGATCAATTCTGCCAAGGTGAGGGGCTTTTACATCCATTTTAAAATGGAACTAGTGGGACAAGGAGGTGAAATACCTTTCCCGTTGGGGTACCACATGATCATACCCCAGGAAAAAACAAGCAAACAAATTTATCTCTAAGCACTGCTAAGTTTATTAAATTAGTTGGTTGCCTTCCCATGCATTCCCTGACATCCAGGAGTATAGGTATACAGACTTCAAATATAATACAATTATAATACGACTATGTCTTCCCATATTCCAGTTTGTTTAATTCAACAAGCAATAGTGAATGTTTCCACTATTCTGCCGCTAAAAACTCATCAAGTTTACATTCTAATTTAATAGTATATTACTTATCAGTGAATGTTAAAAAAAAAAAGAAAGAAAGGGAGAGGTTCTGAAGATGTCCTTCAAGGACAGAACACATGCCTAGTATGCACAAGGTCCTGGATTCAATCCAAGTACACCGATGTCTTTGTTAGGGTTTCTATTGCTATGAAGAGACACCACAGCCAACACAACTCTTATAAAGGAAAAACATTTAATTGAGGTAGCTCTCTTATAGTTCAGAGGTTTAGTCCATTATCATCTTGATGGGAAGCAAGGCAACATTCAGGAAGACATGGTGCTGGAGAAAGAGGTGAGAGTTCTTGCATCTACACCCACAAGTCACAAGAAGTAGTCTGTCTCACTGGGCGCAGCTTGAGCATTAATGAGACCTTAAAGCCCACCTCCACAGTGACACACTTCCTCCAACAAGGCCACACCTACTCCCATAAGGCCACACCAAATAAAATTTTAAGGGTTTAAGAGAACCGATGGAGAGGTGATTACACTGGTCAGGGAATCTCACTCTGAGTGAATGGACTACAGTTTAGCTCCTTCTCTTGGAATATCACTCGAACCATCCCAGCTCAGTTCTTTAAAGGGCCTTTGATATTTAAGTCTTTGCATTGTCCATTGTGTTTTAGTCTCCAGGCTCCGCACAGAGATGGGATGTATCTTCATCGCTTTGTGTCACTGGGACAAAATAACTATAGTAGCCACACTGCAAAGAAGGAAGGTTTGTTTTAGCTCACAACTTTGGAGATTTTAGTCTGTGACACAGTCTTGGGGGCTACCTTGGGGCAAGAAGTCATGGCAGGGAATGCAGAGTGAGGCAAAAAGATTATAAATGGGAGACAAAAAAAGAGAGAGAGAGAGAGAGAGCTGGTATCCTAAAATCCCCTTAGGGCATACAGTCTTACATGAGGTCTCCCTTCCACTGGGCTCCTTCAGAAGGTTCTGATACTTATTTCCAATGTCAAGGGCTGAGGAGTAGGCCTTTATTTCCTGTGTCTTTAGAGCATGTTCCAAGTGCACACTATATCAGGTTGGAAGGCGGTCAATTTAAATTGGTGCCACACTGCATGCTGCAAAGAAAGGGAGACAAAGAGAGAGAAAGAAAGAGAGAAAGAGAGAAAGAGAGAAAGCACTTCCATGAGCAATGACTCTGAAGTAATTTGGTAGAAATGAGAAAGGGAAATTTTCAAGAAGGTGGAGGTGTTTGAAATAATTCCAAACTGTCTAGAACTAACGACATACTCTGCCCAAATGAATCCTAAGATGCAATGAAACTTCATCACATCACTTCCATTTATGCAAATTCCCCACTGGGACTTGAAACTCTCCTTGTAGGTAACTTTTTGTTCCTGTGGTAAAAGTATCACACACCTAGAAACGGCCTGAGAAACTAAAATTCTCTAGGTGTAAGTTACTCGAAAACGCTATTTCCTTCTGTCTCACACAAAGCAACTGTCTTGGCGTCCCAGAGTCACTGTGGACACAGAGGACTGGGGAAGAGCTCGCTGGTAGAAATTTCCTTGCTAGCATGAGACTTGGCATCACCCTCTACCAGAGAGGGGAACGTTCATGTTTGTTTTGGTTTTGATCTGTGTCCAGGTGACCCCAGGCTCCACCTGTGCTGTGTTTGGCCTTGGAGGTGTCGGGCTGTCTGTCATCATTGGCTGTAAAACAGCTGGAGCGGCCAGGATCATCGCTGTGGACACCAACAAAGACAAGTTTGCGAAGGCCAAGACAGTGGGTGCCACTGAGTGCATCAGTCCGCGAGACTTTGACAGTCCCATTCAGAAAGTCTTGTTTGATATGACGAACGGCGGAACAGACTTCTCCTTTGAGGTCACTGGAAACCCAGAAATAGTGGTACGTGGTCTTTGGAAGTGACAACTGCCCGCATCTTACACCAGTTGTTGTTTGCTAGTTTAACTGAATGAAGATCTTACAATTCCTTCGACGTCCCTCTACTCAATTTTCCTTGCGGTCCATAACAAACAAACTAGGACATTCTGTCCGTTTACTTTCCAATAGAATCTGCAAGTCTGCTTTTGCGTTTGTTTACCCCTCTGTTTCAAAATACTTCTTCTTCAATTAAACATGAAGAACCCCCAGTCAGAGGTTACATGACCCCAGATGGCCTGCGATGCCAAAGACTGTCAAGCCAGGAAACGTCAGAGAGATAAGGCTCTGCTCAATCGGCCTAGAAAACAACGAGCTTTTGTCTTTCAGTAAAATCTTCCATGGCAGGTGTGAGCTTCTGCACCAAGCATTTCCTCGTTTGACTCAATGACTGGTGGCTTTTCTGCCTGAACCTGGCTAACACACGGAGATAAACATGAAGGCCATCACACCAGGCTCTGAGGAGAGCCGTCTTCTGGTCTCGGTGGAATGATGCTTTACTGTTGCATGGACCCATCTTTCAGGAAGTTACATAGAAAGAAAGCAAAGAGGAGTCTTTTCCAACCTGTATATTTTTCCCAGAATTCAAATTTTCTTATAGTTCACTGCAGATAACCCTCTCACTCAAGCACATAGCAAAGCCTTTATCCCTGTCTGTTCTGGAAAAAAAAATTGTTTGAAAATAATGAATAGGAAGATGGTGTGTGATCACTTTGTTAGCATGACATAGTACACAAACATCTGACTATCACTTTTGATATCTAAAAGTAAGCCATCAGCTCAAACCAGCCACCCACAATCATAGTCCTTACAGAAACTATTGTTAATTTTATTACCACAATGGTCTATAACGGTTTTCATCTCTGTTCAGTTTGCCGAATCCTAAAATCCCAAATACTATTCTAGGAAGAAGCAGTAATTCACCTATGTTATAGAACATCTTCATAATATTGATGTTATTTCCAAAGGGACAGGGGAAATCAGAAAGGAAGTCAAGATCATTAAGCAGTCAAGCGGAATAAGAGTGGCCCAACTCTGAAGTAGGTGGTTTTATTCTTTTTCTGTCTTACATTGTTTTACAACAGGCAACTGCCCTGGCCTCCTGCAACAAGGACCATGGGGCCTGCGTGATCGTTGGAGCAATTGCTTCTTGGGTTCAGCTCAGCATCAGCAGCAAGTTGTTCTTCTCAGGACGTACTCTGAAAGGGTCAGTTTTGGGAGGTACGTACAGAAGAAACCGAATGCTGCAAGTGAGGAGCTAGACTGAGGAAACAGAAAATGGGCCAGAAGTGCCCAAGAAAAGACATCAAACAATTCAAATGACAGTCTTGTTTCAATGTTTAAAATTCGAGTTAGAAAGTAGATATTAACTATGTCCTCTGTCTCTTTGTAAGCTTTATTTCATACAAGGAGAGGAAAAAAGAAAAAGGCAAGTTTTTGTTGATTTGCAGAACAAACAACACAGCAGAGTCTGGGCGCTGGGGATGGCACTCAACGGAAGAATAGTCATGTCAATTGCTGAAGTCCTAGGTTCAAAACTACCCAAATCATCACTTGCTAAAGTCTGCACTCTGTGTGCAGAGCTCTTGTCTCACCCAACACTGTGGACCCAGTCTCTGGTCGCAGTCTTATACCAGAAACTTTGAAACCTGTGTTGCCATGGTAAATGCTCTGTCCCTTATCATTTACTCAAGGAATGTGCTGTGAGCTTCAGAAGTAGCTTTGTAACTTTTTTTATGGCCTCAAACCTCCTGTAAAATATGTATTTAAACAAAGTATCTGAAAAAGCACGGGAGAATTAAAGCAGAGAATTAGAGACAATTAGAGCAAGGGAATGAGAACTGCAAAATAAAAGAGAGAGAGAGAGAGAGAGAGAGAGAGAGAGAGAGAGAGAGAACGACCCTCAGATTGTGTGTGAAGCTATCACAGAAATCTTTCAATCCTCACTTTGGAGAAGCAGTCTCTGAGTTACCCTGGGTAGTAACTTGGGAGCCGGACCTTCAGGATACTGAACAACTCAGTTCTCCAGGTTTTCACCACAAGTACTTCCACCCATTGCTCCATCTCCCCAGCCCAGGGTCTTTCTTAATGTTCTCCCACTGAAATAATAAGCAAAAGTGTTTTTACATATATACACAAATACTTCCTTAGATCACCAATAAAAACAAAAGAGAAATAGATGAGACTCATGGGTGGCAACAGATAACCCTAGTTAGAATTTGTGATTATATATAGAATAATTAAGTTTTAAAATACACCTGTTAGAAGAGTTTGGGGCCGTTTTGAGAGTAGGTAGCAAGGCTAGAGAGCCCAACATTACCTGGGATGAAGAAAAGGAAGCTTGAGGATTGCAAAGATGGCTCGACATTTATAAGCATCTATGTTTTGCAAAGGACCAGAGTTCCTAGCGTCTGCATAATGACACTAGCTTCAGGAGATCCAATATCTCTGGCCTTCTATGGCACCTGCACACACACACACACATAAACTACACATAATTTAAAGTTATAACAATGAAAATAGTCTTTTTCTCTTTTATAAGATAGGTTGTACTATTGAGCACTTCTTATCTTTTAATTGTTATTTCTTCTTATGTGTGTGGGTGTTTTGCTGGCATATTTGTCTACACCACATATATGGCTTGTACCCATAGAGGCCAGAAGAAGGTGTCAGATACTCTGGATCTAGAGTTACAGACAGCTGTAAACTGCCATGTGGGTATAAAGGAATGGTACCCGTGTCCTCTGGAAGAGCATTCAGGGTTCTTAACTACTGAACCACCTCTCCAGTCATATATATCCTTTAAAAAAAATCAAGCAGATAACAACATCCTATGACAAAGTTATGAGCAGAGGGCACTAGTCTGGGTAGAGGAAATCACAGCCTGCAGGATCCATGCTCACCTCTTCCGTACGGGGGTGGGGGAGTAGGGTAGGGGGGCAGAAAACTCTGGTTGTGACTCATTGACCAAGGTATGCAGTCCAGTGTGGAATGGATATGCTTTTGGAAACTCACGAGAATAGAGAAAATACATTGTGGGCTTGTGTGGCTTTAGTTGACCCCATCTTTCTTTGGTCATCTTTACTCTCAGAAGACATATTTTAGTAATTCATACACATTAACATTCTGTTACTCTAGGCTTGCTGCCATGATGTTCTTCTCTGCTCATAGATTGTTTGGCTAGTTCATGAAGCTGCATGTCAAAGCACACAGACACAGATGTGCATGTGCGCAAATACACACACACACACACAAACACACACACCGAGAGAGAGAGAGAGAGAGAGAGAGAGAGAGAGAGAGAGAGATTTCTATGCTTTTAGAGAGTACAGTACGGAAGATCAAACCTAGAGCCTCTTTAACACAGCTATGTGTTCTCCCAACTGAACTATTTCCCCAGTCCTCATTTCTAACCTTTACGTTCATCTACGCATCTCAAGACTGTGGCTTTCAGTATACATTTTGTTTGAATTCACTGGTCTACAGAGCTTACAGCCTAACACCGGGAACATTGCAAGACGAGATTTATTTTCTATTGGTTTTGAATTATGACCTTTGTGTCTGAGGCACCAGAGGTTCCGTGAAGAGCATAAACCTGTTTGTGGGTTGTATGGTTGGAATAGCCCTCATCCTGTTGGGGCAGGCTGATGGGACAGCAAAACATCTCTAACGGTTTTAACATTGGCCAGCCTTTCTTCCTGTCTTCCTTCCTATCTTCCTTCCTTTCTTTTCTCCTTAATCTCTTTTTTATGGTTTGAGAATTTCAAATAATGTGTATATGGTATTGTCAAATCCACACGCCCTTCTCCACATTCTTTTATACTGAAACCTCATTGGTAGAATCGTTCATAAACCTGTGCTCTTTTGCATATTTCCAGGTTGGAAAACCAAGGACGAAATCCCTAAGCTGGTTTCTGACTACACAGCAAAGAAGTTCAGCCTAGATCCACTGATCACCCACACCCTGGCTCTCAACAAGATCAATGAAGCAGTTCAGCTGATGAAAAATGGACAATGGTAAAGGTCATGTTTAATCTGTGTGTGGGTATGGGAACAAAGGGACTGTCACTGCTGCAAAGGCTGCAGAGATTCTTGCAAGAGCTCAACCCTTCCCTGCCCTCTGAATTTTGTTTTATTGCTGCCTTATATAATACATGATCCTGCAAGGAGTAAGGTAGTAAATATTTGTTAGCTTTATTTTTCACTCAACACAGAAGTAAAGGTGTCGTCCCATGAAGTTATGGTCCTACTTTGGGAACACAGTTTATGGAGTGGAAGAAAGGGTTCTGAGGGTAAACACACTTGACACAAGATAGACATCTAGTCCCCAGCGCCCACTTAAAGACGGAAGGAGAGAACCGACCACAAGGCTGGTCTCTGACCTCCTTATGTGCACCTTACTTCCCGTCTATCCTCCACACCTCCCCGGAATAATAAGATTGACTACAAAAAGGAAAATGGAGCCCACTTTACAAAGAGGCTGTTGTTGGCATTTTTATTGCTTTGTTTCTGTATGGGGAATGTCTATAACATTCCTAATTCTGATACCTATTTAATCTCTCCAGTAGAAACTAACCATAAATGATATCAACCTTTGTCTTCATTGAAGTTTCTATTGCTGCCACGAAACACCATGACCAAAAAGAAAAGTTGGGGAGGAAGGGGTCTATTTGGCGTACCCTTCCACATTGCTGTTTATCACTGAAAGAAGTCAGGACAGGAATTCAAACAGGGCAGGATCCCAGAGTGCGTGAGCAGACTCAAAGGCCATGGAGGGGTGCTGCTCACTAACTTGCTCCCCAAGGCTTTCTCAGCCTGCTTTCTTACAGAACCCAGAACCATCAGCCAAGGGATGGTACCAACCACCATTGGTTGGGCCTTCCTCTGTTGATCACTAGATGAGAAAATACCTTACAGCTGAATCTCAAGGAGGCATTTCCTCAACCGAGGCTCCTCCCTCTCTGATGACCCTAGCCTGTGTCAAGTTGACACACGAAATCAGCCACTACAGCGCTTCCCACGGCTTTAAAGCTTCTTCCCTATTTTATTACTCGGAGAGCTGCATGCTATTTTGTTCACATTCCTCACAACTTGTCAGTCAGCCCGATTTTTATCCAACCTTAAAGGAATAAGCATGAGAATAAACATGTGGAACATAGACCTCAAAAGTCTAAAACATGAAAATTTGAAATCAAAATACATGTTGCTTCACAAATTCCTCCAAGTTTTGTTTCTCTTCTTTTTCCTTTATAGCATCCGCTGCGTACTGCTACCTTAGTTACAAGATCAGCAGCATTTCACCACCTGGATTTTGCATATCATCATGATTTAGAAGAACCAGCCACACAACACTTTTCTATTTTTTTGCCTTGATTCAGTCAACAACGTTGTATCAGGCTCTCTCACCTGATCACACCATCAGAATTGTTCTCACGTGACCCCCGGCCATGGCAGTGCCATGCAGGACCTCCCTTTCACAGCTACATTAAGGTCGATAAGAACCACCCAACAGCACATCCTGCAGATGAAGGCACACCAAGATGCTCCACAGGCGCAGCTATCTCTGGACCCACATTTCTTCACCCACTGGATCTTTCCCACACTGTATGCATCTATATGTGAAGCTTGGTGTATTGTCCACAAGAATTAGAATTCCCCCCGGTGAAACTACTGGAACTAATAAACAACTGAGCAAACTTTCGGGTCACAAAACCAACAGACAAAACTCAATAATGTGGTTATATGGCAATAGCAAGTTTTCAGATATGGAAATCCAGGAAGCAGTCTCACAGTTACTGTGAGATTGGTCTCTCAGATAATAACTAGGAACAAATTTATCCCAAGGTAAAAGATATCCACAACTAAAAACTATAAAACATTACAGAGTACAGTGGTGTGCTTCTTTAATCCAAGCACCTTGGTGGCCAAGGAGGGTCAACCTATGTGACAGGGCATGATTGCTCACATAGCAAGTTCTACATAACTTGATCATGATAAGATCATGTCTCAAATATATACATATTTAAATATATAAAAATGAAAACCATTCTTTGTTCATGAATTATGAATTACGAGAATATTGTTAAAATGTCTGTACTACCCACAGGGGATCATAGGAATCATGGGTGATGAAATCGGAGGGCCACAGCAAGCCGGCCCACCCTTTGATGACGCAGTCCACCCTTCGATCATCCTGGGAACGATGATCGGTGGACACTGCAAAAAGAGAGCTGGCCATGACCCTCATGGAAGAGCTGTTCCTCCTCTCCCCACACTGCAATTGGGAGAGATGGCCTCACCCCTCACTACAGGACAGGAAGAACTGGCCCTGATGGTATGGGCAGAGGGAGCTGGTTCTGCTGCTTCCCTGGGGTGACCTGGAGCGACCAGCTCAACTACTGCCCAGGCCCAGAGCCCTAACATCTACACTATTTAGGACCTGCTGGAGCTCGTGAAGGGACTGGACTTGATATCCATGGGATCTCCAAGACCCAGGATGGCTTCAGGGTATCTGAGAAGAGTTTAGGTGAAGAGCCACTGATGATGCTGTGTGAGAGACCAGAGGCCTTGAACCACACCAATGACTCATTGCAATGAACATGTGAAAAACAAGCAGATTACACAAAAGGATGTATTGTGTGATGCATCACGGCTCCCAATGTCACGAGGATGAATGCAGAGATATTGGAGAGGCCGGAAAGACAGAGGAGTAAAGAGGGTTTTGTTCCTTCGGTTTTGTTTGGTTTGATTTTTTTTTTTTAGTTTTCATCTGTGGGGGACACTGCAGGGGTGAGAAAAAGATATGGGGGGACTGGGATGTGAGCAGAATTGGGGTGCGTATTGTGAAATTCCCAAGAATCAATAAAGAAATTATGCTAAATATTAAAAAATTTTTTAAATGTCCATACTACATAGAGATCTACAGATTCAACGCAATTTTACCATAAATATCAGCAATATTCCTCACAGATAAAAATAGTCTTCAAATATACATGAAACCCAAAAATGCAAATAAACAAAGCAATCCTGAGCAAAAAGTAAAAAACAGGACCCATTATGATCCAAAATACACTACTGAGTCCTAGTGACCACAACAACATGGTTTGGCAGAAGAAAGAGAATCATAGACCAATGGAACCAAACAGAGAGCCCAGAAAAACTAAAGAGTGTGCAGTGAGCATGGTAAGAGGTTGCTAAGAAGATGCACTGGAGGAAGGAGAGTCTTTTCAATTCATGATCCTAGAAAGTTATATGGAAAACAAGTTTTTTAACCCATTTTGTTTTTTATTTTTTAATTGTTTTTATTGAGCTACATATTTTTCTCTGCTCCCCTGCTTTACTCTTCCCTCCCCTTCAACCCTCTCCCATAGTTCCCATGCTCCCAATTTACTCGGGAGATCCTAGTTTTTTTTTCTACTTCCCATGTAGATTAGATCCATGTATGTCTCTCTTAGGGTCCTCATTGTTGTCTAGGTTCTCTGGGATTGTGAACTATAGATTGTTTTTTCTTTGCTTTATGTCTAAAATCCACTTATGAGTGTGTATATATGATACTTATCTTTCTGGGTCTGGGTTACCTTGTTCAGTATGATGTTTTCTAGATCCATCCATTTTCCCACAAATCTCAAGATATCATTATTATTTTTTTTCTGCTGTGTAGTACTCCATTATGTAAATATACCACATTTTCCTTATCCATTCTTAGGTCGAGGGACATTTAGGTCATTTCCAGGTTCTAGCTATGACAAACAATGCTGTTATAAACATAGTTGTATACATGCCCTTGTGGCACAATTGAGCATCCTTTGGGTATATACCCAAAAGTAGTATTGCTGGGTCTTGAGGTAGGTTGTTGTCGTCAGTGTTTTTGATCTTGGCCATTCTGATAGGTGTAAGATGGAATCTCAGAATTGTTTTGATTTTCATATCTCTGATGACTAAGGATGTTGAGCATTTCCTTAAGTGTCTTTCAGCCATTTTAGACTCCTCTGTGGAGAGTTCTCTGTTTAGGTCTTTGCCCCATTTTTTTATTGAATTGTTTGTTTTTTGATGACCAATTTCTTGAGTTCTTTGCATATTTTGGAGATCAGACCTCTGTCCAATGTGGGGTTGGTAAAGATCTTTTCCCATTCTGTGGGCTGCTGTTTTGTCTTATTGACCATGTCCTTGCTTTACAGAAGCTTCTCAGTTTCAGGAGGTCCCATTTATTAATTGTTTTTCTCTGTGTCTGTGCTACTGGGGTTATATTTAGGAAGTGGTCTCTTGTGCCAATGTGTTCAAGTGTACTTCCCACTTTCTCTTCTTTAAGGTTCAGTGTGGCTGGCTTTCTGTTGAGATCTTTAATCCATTTGAACTTCAGTTTTCTGCATGGCAATAGATATGGTTCTATTTTCATTCTTCTACACGTTGATATCCAGTTATGCCAGCACCATTTGTTTAATATGTTTTCTTTTTTCCATTTTATATTTTTGGCTTCTTTGTCAAAAATCAGGTGTTTGTAGGTGTGTGAATTGATATCTGGGTCTTTGATTCGGTTCCATTGATCCTCCTGTCTGTTTTTATGCCAATACCAGACTGTTTTCAGTACTGTAGCTCTGTAGCAGAGTTTGAAGTCAGGGATAGTGATGCCTCCAGAAGTTCCTTTATTGTGCAGGATTGTTTTGGCTACCCTGGGTTTCTTGATTTTCTATATGAAGTTGAGTATTGTTCTTTTGAAGTCTGTCAAGACCTCGAAACTTTACTGGAATTTTGATGGGCATTGTATTGAATCGATAGATTGCTTTGGGTAGGATTGCCATTTTAATTATGTTAATTTTACCTACCCAAGAGCATGGAAGATATTTCCATTTTCTGGTGTCTTTGCTACGGACCGGCCCAGGGGAGCCACTCAGACCGTAAGAGAATCAGGGCGAAGGCACAGGAGAAATCAGGATACGGCGAGGAAAGTGACACACAGACACTCTCAATGTTGAGACATGCTGTTGCAATTTACTTACTTCAGTGCAGGATTATATATTTCTTTTTTACAATCAAAGAACTTGGCAAAGGCATACATCATCAAATCATAAAACAGAAAAGAGCAGCATAAAACAGTTTACAAAAAGAATCTTTGAAGATGCTTTGACTTGGGCACAAGGACTTCTGTTCTCTCACACTTTGCAAAACAAATTCTCTCCTCTTGCCTTCAAAGAGATCACTGCCCTTGAGCTAGACCATCTTTATCAGCTTGCAGGTGACTGGTTGGTTTGAGCTAAGTGACCTTGTGTGCCTGGGTGAGAAAGAAAAAAGCTACTATCTCCCTGGGAAAGTTTTCTGCTAGGAAATTTCTAATACATAGTCTTGAATCTCTCTGAAGTTTACTTTATATCACTAACTTCAACTCTCCTCCCTTCTCAATTCTCAGGCTCAGATATTGTCAGCTTAGGCTAGGTCTTTTTCTTCCCATAAGAAAGGTTTCATAGGCCTTCTGTTTACAACTGTACATATTTCTCAGGCAAATGCCTAAAGCTTCTAAGGTTTTTCTTAGTAAAATTAACTCCTTTTGTTCCACATCATCAAGGAATTGTCCTAATGATGATTCTGGCAATTCCCAGAACTGGCTACTTTTTTAAGGCTTTAATTAATAGTGGAGCAGAATTCAAAAATGTCCTTAGCAGTCTTGTTTGTATCCACAACTGCCTGGAATAGTTTGATCTGTTAGCAATATGCAAGAATCACAAAGAACATACAGACAAGGGAAAAAGACAGACTTATGGCTCCAAGGACAGCCAGGCTGAGTCAGTACTAATGGCGACTCAGGTAGCATTACACCACAACTGATTGCCAAGGGACCGCTTGGAACACACAGCTCCGAGAAGCACAAATCCCACTCCTTCCGGCAATATTTGCTCATCCAGTCAGCATTTCTGCTACACTGGCGAGATAGTCGTGGATGTAGCATGTCTTCTTCAATTTCTTTCTTCAAAGATTTAAAGTTCTTGTCATACAGTTCTCCCACTTGTTTGGTTAGAGTTACTCCAAGTGATTTTATTCTATTTGTGCCTATTGTGAAGGGTGGCTTTTCTCTGATTTCTTTCTCAGCTCATTTATCGTCTGTGTAAAGGAGGGCTACTGATTTTTTTTTTGAGTTTACCTTGTATCCTGCTATATCACTGATGGTGTTTATGAGTTGTAGAAGTTCCTTGGTAGAATTGTTTACTTATGTATACAATCATATCATCAGCAAGTAGAGAGAGTTTAACTTCTTCTTTTCTAATTTGTATCCCCTTGATCTCCTTTTGTTGTCTTATTGCTCTAGCTAGAACCTGAAGTACTTTATTGAATAGATATGGAGAGTGGACAACCATGTCTTGTTCCTGATTTCAGTGGGATCGCTTTGAGCAGCTCTCAATTTAGTTTGATATTGGCTGCTGGATTGCTGTATATTGCCTTTGTTATGTTTAGATATATTCTTTGTATCCCTGCTCTCTCTAAGACCTTTATTATGAAGGGATATTGTATTTTATCAAAAGCTTTTTCAACATTTAATGAGATGATCATGTGGGGTTTTTATTTTCAGTTTCTTTATATGGTGGATTACATTGACAAATTTTTATATGTTGAACTATCCCTACATCTCTGAGATGATTGTTTCCATTGAGAAGTTTGGTGTAATTCTGGTAGGTCTGCCTTTATATGTTACTTGTCCTTTGCAGCTCTTAATATTCTTTTTTTATTCTGTATGTTTATTGTTTTGATTATTATGTGGCGAGGGGACTTTTTTAAATCCAGTTTAAGGGTGCCTGAACCGGCCTTGGCCCATAACCATACTGATGAATATTTTGCTTATCACCATAGATCCTTCATCTGGCGATGGATGGCAATACAGATGGAGACCCACATTGGAGCACCGGACTGAGCCCCCCAAGGTCCAAATGAGGAGCAGAAGGACGAAGAAAATGACGAAGGACTGCGAGGGATGCTACCACCCACTGATACAAGGGGTCGGATCTAATGAGAGTTTACCAAGGGCAGTTGGACTGCGACTGAAGGAGCACGTGATCCAACCAGATTCTCTGAATGTGGCCGGATTCTCTGAATGTGGCTGGCCCGGAGTCTTTCTGAGAAGCCATTGACAATGACACTGGGACTAGTTTCCTCTGCATATACTGGATTTTTGGGATCCAGTCTGTTTGGATACTCACCTTCCTGGACCTGGAGGGAGGGGGGAGGAACTTGAACTTCCCACAGGGCTGGAAACCCTGACTGCCCTTAGGGACAAAGAGGGAGGAGGAGGGGGGGGAGTGGGAGGGTGTTGGGAAGAGGGGCGTAAATGGAAACTTTTATAATTTAATAAAATTACTTTCAAAAAAAATAAATCCAGTTTATTTGGTGTTCTATAGGCTTCTTGTATCTTCATGTGCATATCTTTCTTTAGGTTGAGAAAGTTTTCTTTTATGACTTTGTTGAATATATTGTCTGTGCTTTTGCGTTGAACTTCTTCCCCTTCTTCTATACCTATCATCCTTAGGTTAGTCTTTTCATGGTGTCCCATATTTCCTGAATACTTTGTGTTAAGCTTTTGTTAGATCTAATGTTTTCTTTGACTAATGGGTCCATTTCCTCTATTGTATCTTCAGCACTTGAGATTCTCTCTTCCATCTCTTGTATTCTGCTATTCATGCTTGCATTTGTGGTTCCTGATCGGGAAAACAAGTTTTTTTTCCACATACAAAAAAATAAAGCTATACTGCTCCTATTCTTGAGCCGATTTCAAAAACAAACTCTAAGCACACTGATGTCTTCCATGTAAGGACTGAAACTCCTAAACTACTATAAGAAAGCGTAGGGAAACAGTTCTGAGCCTTGAAATGGGCAAGGGACTGTTGGACAACACCTCATAGACACAGAAAAGATAAGTAATTAGTCAAATTGGATTACAGCCAACCAAGAAGGGGTTCTGCACAGCAAGGGAAGTTGTCACCCAAGTGAAGACAGCATGCCATTGCAAGATGGTTCTGGAGTAGAGTACTATGAGAAGTGCCAATTAACAGATATAAGGTGAGAACAGATAGCACATTGTGTATTTCAAATAATATCAAAGAAAAGGGATTTTGAGTGTTTTTCTCACAAAGAAACACTTTTTCAGGAGACTGTTTACTGTGATCTAATATCCCAAAGTATATACACATGCTGCTCCATAATTATATAGAACTTTATGCTTTTGTATGTCAGCTAAAAATAATCTCAAGATGCTTAAGAGATGACTTAGTGGTTAGGAGCACTTGCTGCTCTTTCTGAGGACCCAGGTTTAGTTCCAAACACCCACATAGTGACTCACAACCTCTTCTGGCCTCCATGGATATTGAATGCATACAGTACACAGACATACATGCAGACAAAACACCCATGCACCTAAAACAAAAATAAGCCTTTCTAAAATAACAGAAATGAAAATGCATTGATTTTTAGAATTAAATAAAACTCCCTGTCTCAGTTACTTCTTTTGTTTTGATAAGAAACCATGACCTTTGAGATGCTTGCTCCCTGTACATAGGCAGGTGCTACCAAACCTATCTACTCTGGATGACAGACACATCTTCTCCATCTTTCCATGTCTAAGCTGAAAATCTGCATTCTCTCTTCCCTACCTCCATTTCAAACTATCCTCCTACCTACTCTATCCCTAAAATAAATTTTGTAACAGTGAGAACTTGGAGGAATCTCATCATGCTGGAAAGTCAGAATTTCCCAGGAAGGAATTAACGAAGCCCAATTATTCGAGCTCCTTTGACTATCTCCTAACAACTTTCTTCCCCCCTTTTAAGGTAAACTTTCAATATGTAGCCCAGGCTGGCCTCAGCTCACAATTCTCCTGCCATAAACTTCAATGTACTGAAGTTACAAGAGTGAGTTACTCCACTCTGCTTCCTTCTGTCTTCTTTAAGCACCTGTTCATGGTGGAGCTCATTGAAAACATCTAATTTTATCACAAAAGCAGCATCTCTGTCTTCTTTCTGTTAATACTTAATCAAAAATATTACACAAGCAATGGTTCTCTACATCAGTTTATAGCTATTCACCACTGATGCTAGCTAGCTAAAGGCCACACTCAACTACAAACCTGTGTCCTGCCTCAAAGCCCCACCATTTCAGCTACATTTGATGGCCCTGTCCCAACCACCAAGCAAGACACATCTTTGCAATTTCTAGGCATGGCGTTTCCCAGGATAGTGAATACACGGTGGTTTATGGCCTCTTCCAAGGCTTGCCTAATCCCACACCCACACTATAAGCAGGTAGTCAGCTTCTAAATACAGCTTGATTAAATCATGCAACGTTTTGAGTTTCTTCTACACTTTTATCTGAAAGAATAATTATATCATTAGTTATTACTCAAATCATAATAAAGCATGTATAAAATATAGAGGTCTTCTGCTGAAATACAGTGAGCAAATGCTAGGCTGTGACCCTGCATTCATGTGCTGCGGGATAATGCTCTTGTACACTGTAAAGATTTTTCGCTCGTATTCATCTAATAAAAGCTGATTGGCCAGTAGCCAGGCAGGAAGTATAAGTGGAGCAACCAGACCAGGAGAATTCTGGGAAGAGAAAAGACAGAGATGCAGTTGCCAGCCAGACACAGAGGAAGCAAGATGAGAAAAGATACCAAGTCATATGGCTAAGCATAGATAAAAATTATGGGTTAATTTAATTTGTAAGAGCTAGTTAATAATAAGCCTGAGCAAAAGGCCAAACAGTTTATATTTAATATAAGCCTCTGTCTCTCATTAGAAAAGCACGGGCTTCTAAGAGATAACAACTAAACATGATAAAAATAAAATACAATACGATGAAGAAAAAGTTTTCATGTTGAAGTTGAACATGGCAACCCAACAGGAGTCCCAAGCGCAGGCACAGGGTTTGAGACCCACTGGTTCTCACAGTCAGGTGTCCCATAAAAATACTAAGCTAATAGCTATAGTGTATACACAGAGAACCAGATGCAACCTGTGCTGCTATTTCAGTCTCTGTGAGCCTTGCTTAATTTTCAAAGGGCCATCTTCTTCTGGTGTCCTCCATCCCCTCTGGCTCTTAGAATAGTCCTGCCTCCTCTTCCACAGGATTCCCTGAGCTGGGGGCGGGGGAGGGACAGATTTGATGGAGACCTCCAATTTAGACGCCATCTGCATAAGGTCTGGGTGCTGCCAGAGGAAGCCTCTCTGATGATGGTTGGCTAAGGCACTGGTCTATGAGTACGGCAGAGCATCACCAGGGATCATTTTATTGTTTTATCTTTCTTTCCTTTTTTCAAGTAGAGTTTGATTTTCACCCTCTGGGCCATCTAGTCTCCGGTTCTTGTTTACTCAAGCAGAGCTGGTTCTGAGTTCCTTCTCGTGGAGCCTTAGGTCAATCAGCATTGGTTGGCCACTCCCACAAATTCTGTACCACCGTTTCCCTAGCATATTTTGTAGGTAGCACATATTGTAGTTCAAAGGTTTTTGTGGCTGAGTTGTTATCCACGTTTCTCTTTGGTCGCCTGCAGGGTACCTTCCCTCACCAACGGGACTAGAACGTAGGAGTGAGGACTCTATTCAGGCACCCGCTCAGCTTCTCCAAAGAGTTGCGTAGGTGTTGTCCTTGGCAATGGGGCCCCACTGTGAGTTTGCAGAGAGGATCATTTTGTCTTAGTGTACAGCTTGGATTATTTGTGGATTTCCATGGGAGTCCTCTGGCCAACAACTCAACTGAATGCAACCTAGTCAGTCCCTCCAGTAGAAGCCTCAAAAAGGGAAAAACTCGTAGAAAGATATTCAAATCAGTTTGGAAATTTGGGCTTTATTAATGCCTTTCTCGGAAATTCTGATATTACAACATGTTGAGATTCCTCCATGTGTATGATGGTTTCATATTTTTGCCTTTCACACACACTCTCAATTGTCTAATAAATGTTGGAAATTAATGCTAGCCCTCCCTCTAGTGGTAGCACTCGTCATTAACCTACATTATAACTTCAAAACCTGCTTCCTACTCCCAACAATTTCTCTCTAACTTCCCCCAAAAGTCAGATAGCCCACCACCAGAATGAGCGGCACGATCCTAAAGCAGTCCACTAGCTTCGCTTTGTCCTTTCGGGGAGCTCCGATAGTCAGTTGACAAATCACAACGCTACAGTCCACAATGTGCGGTGAGACACGGAAACAGCCTGACAGCTAAGGAAAGACAGGCAAATAATCACAGCTCAGTATAAAAAGTGTTATCACGGGGGAATAAGCAGCCAGCAAACCAGAGGTAAAAATCTTCCTGCCTAGGAGATGACAGGAAACTCAGAGAAAATACCTGAGCCTCCGTGGGTACAATTTCTGCCACGTGGGAAAAGCGGTTTGTATGTGGAGTGTGGCTGTTCTGTGATGCACCCTGGGTAGCAGCCCTGTGGAAAGAACCCGCGAGCCTGGAGCTGTAAGGCCTTCCAGTCCCCTGGAAGGGAACCTGGAAGCAGATTCTTCCTGAGCCGATCCTCGAGATGATTGCAGGTCTGGGCAGCACATACAATCGGGGACCTTCTGAGCTAAGCTTGCTCTCCCAGACTCCCGGCCAACAGAAACTTTGAGAGCACATTTGTGTTTTAATCTGTCAAGCAGTGAGTTGCTGATGTGTAAGTGCTCATGCAAGGAGTGGTGACCCCCTGGCATGCACATGCAGTTGTGGCACCTTACTAAAAGTCTCTCTTGAGGTGACCCGGGATGGGGTAGCGGGCACACGGAATGTGCTGCCTTGCGCAGTATCACTATCTTATCTGATTGTTATAGAAATAGAAAACTGAGTATCACAAGCATAAAGGGTGAATAGCAACCAGTGCCCATGGACTAAAAAGATCTCTAGGAATGAGTAATCTCTAGGCATAAAGAGGGTTCTTTAGAAGGCATCTAACAGGCACAAAATGTCTACCTAACAAAGCAGTAGGAGCTTCCCCAGTAGGAAATACAATCACCACAGCCCCTGACTTTCAGCAGGTTTACTTTGCATACAGACCACGCATGAAATACCTCCTTCGGAGTGGGTGCCGATCCAATCAAAAAGCTGCTGACTACCTCGCCACAGCCCCTAATGCACATATGGGCACAGAAAGTCAGTGACGTAACACTCGGGGTCTCCGGTTGGCTGCGGCTGTTGGTGACTTCTCTCCGCCAGGAGCACGTAAAGCACTTCCAACATGGTGAAAACCAACCAGCAAGGAGGAAGCTTCCGGCCCAGTTCCAGCGTGGTTTCTCTGTGTCCTGCAACCAAAATGTGTAGAGCCTTCAGCAAGAAGGAAGAGATTTTTCAAACAGCATTCCCAGTCTTGGCACAGAGGCCAAATCTGACCTGTCACTGAAGACGGTTCATCTGGCCCCAGACATTCGACATTCAGTAAGCAGCTTGCATAATGGCTGAAGGGCTCTGTTGGTAGGTGGGCATCAATGAGTATGATTTTAACAAAGCAGACACGGTCCTTATCGTCACAAAGATTTTAGTCTCCTGAGAATAACGATTAACAAAAGCATGCACACACAAACAGTTAATCACAAAATGCAATAAACATTAGAAAAGTCGGGATTTAAAAGTGGATTTATTTTGGACCGAAAGACAGATTTTTTTGAAGTGAATTTTAGATACCAGTCGAGCACTGGATGCATGGAAGAGACGTGGACACAAGGGTCGCACCACAGTCAACCTTCTAATATGGTTTAGTATCTGTGCTTTGCTTTTTAACATTCGCAGGATGCAAAAAGTGTCCTAGCTATAACTGCTCATTTTATATTTCATTATTATTACAGAAGACACCTGTGATACTCAATGCTTGTGTATCTCTTCCTGTGGTCTTCCATACTATGACCTTTTCCCTCTGGAATAGCCCATGATGCTGACTCTGCTTCCGGGCAGCTCAGATGAATCCGTCCATGTTCCTTGCTGGGGCCTGCAGTGAACAAACAGTTATGTTGTTCGTCAGTGTTACAGAATTCTTGTGGTTCCATTTAAATTCTGCACACAACATTCTGCTGAGATTTGTCACTGATTAAATAAGGGTGCCACTGAGCAGGTCAAATTTGAGAGTGCGGGCTGGAGGGCTGGGAAGGAATGGCACAGGAGGCCTGCAGCACAAAGAACCTGGATCCAGTTTGCCAAGTTAGAAGAGGTAAGGGATAATCTGAAACCTGAATGATTCGGAAAATTGCGTTTACTTGATATTTCAGTATTAAAGTAACTGTATATACTCACCTAAAGACGAGGAATTTAACCTTTATTCTGGAGTTCTAACCAAGACCAGGACACTAAGATTCCCAGGCAATTATTAACTGATAATAACAATGAACTGAGTGTTGTCCCAGAGTTCAGAATTCTATTCACTAATAATAATAGAGAGGAAAATTACAGAGTCCAAACTTTATCAAATACCCAAAGCTGCCAGAGCAGTAGCTGATGATAAATATGAACTTTGTAATCAAACAGACTTCAAATCTAGCTCTTGCTTCACTAAGCAAACATGTTACCTACATTGCTGTATTTTACATTTACAGAGTACCTGGTACTTTCCAGAACTCTGAAATTCTCTAGGAAGGACATATAAAACGCCATCTCAATCCTAATGACATACTACTATACCCATAGACTATGACTGGCTCACCCCACATCAAAGCTTCTCCTTGAACTAGATAGGGATTTGTGTTAAATATATGTACATCACCTCAGTAGAACATGAAATCAGATGGGGCTCATATGTCTATCTCAGTGTGCCTAACAAGCAAGCCAAGATGGAGAAGACAAAGCCTGTACATCTGAAGGATATCTCAGAGTTTAGTAAGCAAGACAGCTGTGGGACAGCTCCACGCAGGGCAGCACAGAAGCAAGAGGGTCAGAGGAGGATGCAGAGAGCACCGGGGAGCAAGACACAAATTGGGAACGTGAAGAGAAAGTCAGTAGTGTTTAGTGTGTGGGTAAGTGTTCAGGAACAACTGAGTTCTGAGGTTCATTTGGGAAGGTTTGGAGAGCTCTGGATGCTTATAGACCAGAAAAGGTATCTGATTTTTTTAAAAACTAGAAAATGAGAGATAAAGGGGGTTTTCTTTTTAAGAAACTGTTAGGAATATGAATCTAGTGCTTTGAAACAGCAAGTGCAGGCAGAGCTGTGCCAGCAGGAGACTTCTCATCAAGATTACTACAACAGCGTAAACAAGAAATAATGAGAAGCCTACCTGCAGATTAGTAACAGTGGGAAGAGGAAATGAAACGGGGTGCACAGAGCTTGTCAGTGCTGTGCAGAATGGTCAGGGGAGCTTTGGAACCCTGAGAAAAAGAATAGAGACATTCCTGTCAAAGTCAAAGTAAGAGAATAAGCCGTGTTCAAGTTTGAAGAAAAAAAGAGAGAGAGAGAGACAGGTTGTTTTGTGAACATAAACACTTAAAATAGAGATGTCTACAAGCAATTAGCATGTCCAGCCTAAAGCACCAAGAAAGCTGGGAAGGAGGAAGGAGGGAAGAAGGAAGGAAAGAAGGAAGGAATGAGGGAGGAAGGGAGGAGGGAGGGAGGAAGGTAGTGAGGAGGGAGGGAGAAAGGAAAGTAGGTGGAAGAAAGGGCTACAGTGATGAACACGAGGTGATAAAGGCTAGAAAAGCTCACAGCTACAGAAAAAGTTTATAAAAGGTTAGGTGTTTGGAAGGTTTGGTTTGTTTGATTTTGCAAGGAGACTACTAATAACCTTTAAAAATGTTTAAGTAGAAAGGTAAATGTTAGGGATATTCCTAAAAATGAGCCTCTCCACCGACACAAATAATCCCAATCAGACCAAATTAGAAGATATCCAGGTTTAATTGGACGCCTGCGCTCTCGGGTGGCCTGAGAAAAGGAGAAAAGACCAACAAAGAGGAAGAGGAGAGACCTCATGTTTATTTTCTGGGGAGCAGTTTAAATAGCCTGTGGGAGTGGTCTTGACCTTTCCTGGGGTTGGGATCAAGGATTGTTGGGCTCAGGGGGAGGGAACTTTCAAAGATGGAGGCCGGAGGCTGGGATTACAGTAAAGATGGAACCCAATGAATTACAAAATAAAGGGTGAATAATGAAAAAAGTGGAAGAGGCCAGGAATGGTATAAAATCAAACAAACCAGCACTCGGAAGGCATAGGCAAGCAGATCTCTGAGTTTAAACCAGCCTGGTCTACATACTGAGTTCCAGGACAGTGGGGGTTATGTAGAGAGACCGTGTCAAACAACAGTAACAAAAAGCATGTGGAAGAGAGAGCATGCGCTATACTTTGGAACATTGAGTAAGCTACCTTTATTCAATATTAAATCACTGAGGTCAAGAAGAGCTGGTGGATGCTATGGGGACACAAAAAAGACTGGCATAGCTAAACAGAAGCACACCAACAAGGGATGGTGGCCCAAAATAGATTATACTTTTAATACACAGAATACAGAACTTTTTAGAATATAGAGTTTGTGCGTGATCAAAATGTAAAATATATAAAGTAGGCTCAGAGAGATGGTTCAGCAGCAAAGGCAATTGCCTCCAAGCATACCCACTTTGGCTCAATTCCCAGAGATCATTGCGGTTAAGAAAGAGAACTGAGCCCTTCAGATTCTCCTAACCTACGCACGCGCGCGCACACACACACACACACCAATACACACACTCAAACGCATTCGTGTACACACACACACACTAAATGTAGTAAACAATTTCAAATATGTAAAACAAAAAGTACTATAAAAATAAAAACTGCATCACAATGATCTTTACAAATCTCTCGTGAACCAATTGATGATAAGCAGAACGACCTGAGTCCAGAGCGCCAGACTGCTTATCCTCAGCAACAGTCAGGGAAGCAAAGATCACACAGAATCACGTGTCTATGCACCACCATAGTGTCAGGTTTAAGTCTGGTGACTCTGAGCCTGAGTCTCCACACCCTGTCACTCAGAGGTCCAGTTGGTTTGTAAACATGAATCGCTCTGACCATCACAGCTGCACCCCCGCAGTTCCCATAGCAGCAGCAGGATGGAGTCAGAAGATACAGCGAGACCACAGAGGCAAAACTAGCCAGCTGTGGAGCAGAACTTTAAAGTAAGACACAGCAGGAGGAACTTGGGGGACAGTGAACTCTTCCACTCACCCCCTGGAGTGATGGATATATGATGTTTTTACATTGGTCAAAGGTCATAAACTTAAAGATAAGATTTAATTTTGAAAAGTTGAGTTGGTCATCAGTTGGAGATGACCCTTTTCCTAAACAGCCATCAGGTGTTACTCTGCCCCTCAGGACTGGCGGTCAGAGCCCCAGGTCAGGCAGGCTCTAAGCACTGGTCCTCAGAGGCTGCGGCACTGCTGACTGTGGAGGACACTGTGAGACCCAGAGCCACTGGGACTGTGTTCAGGCACACGCATCCAGAGGGACAGTGAGAGTTGTCCCCGACAGTGACTTCATGGCTCCCAGCAGTTGAAAGGGACTCTGGCAGCTTTCGAGCCAGTGGCTTTTGAGCACCCTTAACAAAAGTGTTTCCGTGTCTGAACGGTCAGTGTTGCCTTGTTAGCATGGGCTGGCTTTATCAGCCTTGGATGTCCCATAAGCACATGTGCAGCAGGGATTGTGGAAAGAACTTGTATGTAGCCACCGACTCTCCATGAGAAAAAACAAAAACAAAAACAAACAAAAAAAAAAAACAGGGAAAAAGGAGGTGCATAAATTATGGCGTGTTGATACAACAGAATACTCAACAGTAAGAAAAATAAACTGCAGCTAAAGACACTGGGGGTGGCTTCAAAGATGACTCAGCAACTAAGGCCACTCTTCCAGAAAACCTGGGATCAATTCCTAGAACCTAAATGGCAGCTCACAACTCTCTGTAATTCCAATTCTACGAACTTTGATAAGCTCTCTGGCTTCCATGGTGACCAAGCACACATGTGGTACACATTTGACACAAATGCAGTCAAAACACCAATATACATGAAATAAATAAGTAGAGGCACCGTGAACGATCAACAAACAAAACTAAGGGGAAACCATGTGAAGGGTATACGCTAGGAGTCTCTTCACACAAGCTTCCTAATAAACAAAACTGAACTATTAGAAAGGAAAGAAAGCTGTGTGGTAAGATCACAAAAGTACAAGGAAATTATCAGGCTGTCAAAGAGAAGAGTGGGGAAGAGGGAAGCTCCAGAGCAGCTGAAACATCTTTACTAAGTGGTTATCTGTAACTCGGCTTTGTACAATTGATGCGCTTTTCTCTATTCGATATATTGTAATAAGAGATAAGAAAAGAACTAATGAAAAGAACTCTTGGTGCCAGCTTGGAGCGATGGGTTTGCGCATGAACTATGACAGTACAAATGTCACAGGAGGAGTCAGGCAGGGCTGTGACTGGACAACCAGCCAGCAGGAATGCTATTTATTCAGAGTTCTCAGCACAGGACACAGAGCATTCTGGGTAGAGGTGAAAGACCAGTCAGAAAGACACTTCCAAAGCAAGCTTCCCGAGGAAAATGGGCACCAAGGGAAAAGTAAGTAAACAACCTGTATCTACATTTAGTTTCTGCTTCTGCTGTGTCTCTGAACATTTGCTGAAGATGCTGCCCCCCAGGTTACACTCAAGAATCAGCAAATTAAAGCCAACTAAAGGGACAGGAATAGTCCATAAGCTAGAAATTGGTTCTAAGAAAAAGCAACTCCGAATTTGCTGAAGTCTTCTTGGGTACTCACATGTTATGTAAATGGGGGTGAAATTAAGTTACCTCTGCTCTAAGCATCGATGCAGCGTATGTATTTATAGCACGGGAATGAATGGGACTAGGTAGATTACAAAATGCTGTGCATATGATCCCATGTGAGGACACCCAAGGGCTTTCTAACATAAGGAGAAAGAAAGTAATAAGAGTTTATAGGTGGATTTTTTCTTATTTATATTTTGAAATTTCTTGTACTAAATGTATTTTGCATTTGTAATACAAGAAATAACAGTTAAAATTATAATTAAATATTGCAAAGAACAATTGAGAAGCTTCTCAAATGGTAAAATATATATATATATATATACCAACAGTACAGCCAATAATAAGATCAAAGAATTAAAGACTTTCTTTCAATTTCCTTCCAATTTTACTTATACTTGAAATTTAAAATGTAATTTGAGACTAAAAAAATTAATGTAAAAATTAATTGTAAAACTTTCTGTGTTTTGCTTATTTTCATGCACTTTAACTCAATTCTTAGAAAGAACTTTTTTTTTACTGAGCTATACAGTTTTCCCCAATCCCCTCCTCCCCCTTCCCCTCTAACCTCTCCCATGACCTCCACACTCCCAATTTCTTCAGAAGATCTTGTCTTTTTC